TACCTTGATAACTAAATAAAGTTTGAGTTGGAATTCTTAGTCGACTATGTCAAATATAAATGTATTAGCGATTGTTTTTATGGGTATATAATTCGTATAATTTGGTTAGCCCCAGTCCCCATTCTAAATTTCGATTTTGGCTTCTTTTGGCCGGATTTGGCTACTTTTTACGTATCATTTGGCTCTTTCGGGCTCAGACCACCTGGCAACCCTGATTCTGTGTAATCACTCACACTGGTGCTTAAAAGGTACAAGTTTATTTAATTTCTTTCTAATTTTTTGTCCAGATGAATTCTCAGTGGTCTTTTTTCCAAGATGGTAAAATTTAACCTCACAGTAACTCTTGATGATGCTCTTGGTCAACTGATAACACGATTTTCACCAACTGGTGAGTCAAAAATATGGTGATCTAGCTCAGTAAAAAGACTGTGCATGGACAATGAAGCCAGAACATATGGACAATGAACAATGAAGCCAGAACAGAAGTGGTCAGAACATATAAGTGTCTGCTTTTTGAGAACAGAACAGTATGGACAATGCAACCAGAACAAAAGTGGTCAGAACATATAAACATCTGCTTTTTGGGTGACCACTTTTCTTGATGAACATTTTGTATCAACTGTTTTGACAATGCAACCAGAACAAAAGTGGTCAGAACATATAAACATCTGCTTTTTGGGTGACCACTTTTCTTGATGAACATTTTGTATCAACTGTTTTCATAGTACTTCATCCTTAGGGATGTTTATCATGTTATCAATCAATATAATAGTATACTGTAAAAAACTAAAAATAAATTGCTTACTGATGAAATGTCCTGGGAAGTTTTCTTTTGATTTTTGATTCTGTCACTTGACCCTTCACTATTACTTCTTATACTTTTTGCATCAGGAATGACTTTACCCATTGCTATGAAATTTTCTGAGTTTAATTCAAATTTTTAATTTCAATTGGCACCAAAACTTCTTCAGGTCTCCAATTTTTTTTTTAAAATTGGACATTTTTTTAATGATATTTACCGGTAACCACTAAACTCAAAAGGCAAAAATTGAGAGTTTATCATGTTTTCAATTCCTGAGAGTACTGGCAAATTTATTTTTTTAGAAAAGTTTAATTATTGTGCATCTGATGAGTCAAAGAATTAGAAAACACTATTACACAAAGTCAAAAGTAATACTTTATTATAACAATAGAATTATTTATACAATAGTGAGTGCAACTATATTTAAGATTATAAAATCTACTGTGCATCAAGCAGTTTATCCCATTGACTTTACAATATACAATAATGCAAGAAGTAATGTGTCTCATTACAAAATAGGGTTTCCAAAAGCAGTTCTAAAATTCAACTGATTATCAATGACCTATGCTGTTAATAATTACAGTAATTTGGCAGTTTGATTGCTTGAATTAGAAACAAAAGGTCTAGGACTCAACAGAAAGAAATATTTCTTAACATCAAATATTAAAGATAGTTTGAAGCATTCATACAATTGAAGGTTTTAGAAAGTTTGATCATCAACTACATTTACATAAAGCAATAGCAATTATGTTATATTGCCTGCGAATATATTAAGTTGCAATTATTCTTCTCTAGCTTCTAATACATTTTAATCTTGATGTGATTCCATGGAACTATAAAATAATATATGATATGTTGTATGTACGTATGTAATAAATATACAAATAGTAAGGAGTAAGAACCATTTTTGGTATCAATGTTTTATATATTGACTATTTAATTAAGATTTTAAGTCTATTTTTGCCATTGATAAACTGTGACTAAAATGTTTTTCAGTGTCGCTGTCTTTTACAAAAGAATATGCAAATACATTCACAATTTTGCCATGAAGCAATGGCTCAAAATTTTTTATTTGGAATTGGTGGAACTATATTTATATATACATCAACAATGATGGTTTGGTCTATAGGGTTTGTCCTATGGGCGCCGTTCATACGGGTCGACAAATATTGATATTTTCGAAAAAAATAATTAAATTCTGCCTACCCGTTATTCACAATATGAAGCTCCAACGTTCTGGCAAAATTGACTGCATATAAAAGAGGATTTATTGTCAACTTTGTCCATTTCAGCAATACAAAATATACAAATTATCACGCTCCGTGGGAACGACCAATATGGCCGCCGCACGTAAACTGCGACTGCGATCAGGCTTCAATTTTCGCCTGCCTACAGGGTGGGATGCGCTATCTAGTGTATATGAGATATCTATGCTATAAACGCGGCGTAAGTTAAAACTACAATAATTGTCTAGAACATTTTTATGGAGTAAATTATTAATAAGTAATAGCATGGTTTCTCGTGAAATTTGGACAAACATGCACTCGTGAGTTTTTCAAAGGCCTCAAATAGCACTCGTCCTTCGGACTTGTGCTATTTTGAAGTCTTTGAAAAACTCACTCGTGCATGCTATATCCAAATTGCACTCGAAACTATGCTATTACCACAGAGAAGAGATATACAGAGAGGAAACACGCGGCAAATTGTGTCACACCGATATATTCGGGGAATTTAACACAACCAAGTGTTAAAAAACATTAAATCCCCCGCCCCTGGGGCAAACTGGTCTGTTAAAACCCCCGTACAGCCGGGCTTTAGTATACCTAAATTCAATTCAAATTCAATTCAAAATTTTATTAACACTGTTTCATATCATTACATTTTTTTAAAAAAAGTACAGGAAGAAAAATAAAGTATATTGTAGGAGTTAAAGATAATTAAATATATGAAATTTCAAACCAAAAAAGTAGTAGTGAGCGACAGCCAGAGAAGCAAAGCTTTCGAGCTGGTTGCCGCGAGACAAATTCCGCATCATGCATGCATTTGAATTATCTGTCTTCCGCAACTCCCAGATTGAATTTCCGTCAAGTATTGTATTGACAATGTCTGGTCATGCATATCAAAATATCGATATGAAAATGTAAATAAATACGCAAATATAAAATGTAAACAATGCCAAATATATCCAAACAATGGAAAAGGCGATGCCTGACACTTATTGAATATTAACAGCAGCGGATGGCTGAGGATTAAGTATAAAATATAAAGTTTCAAACGCACGTACCTGTCGAGTAAGTTTTTCGTTTTTCGTTTTTTGTTTCGTTTTTACGACCCCATGCGGTCATTTTAATTAAGTCCCCAGTTAAGGCCCATACAGACCGGACGCGATTTGGCAACGCGACGCGAATTTTCAGTTTTCAATGACATTTAACTCTAATATTTTTCAATGTTTTTCAAATATTCGGAACCACTTAAGCAATTTTAGCTATTTGGTCTGCATATCTTGTAAAATTTTTATCCGTTGACGGTTTTATTTGTTTTTGAAAACTGAAAATTCGTGTCGCGTTGCCGAATCGCGTCCGGTCTGTGTGGGCCTTTATCCCCGGTGTATTTATATATAGCGGCTGTTAAATCCCGGGTCAATTCTCCGGTTATAAAAAAGTTTTTAATTCCACCGCCTTCCGGGGCATAGCACGTTGTTAAATAGCGTGAAATCCCCGCTAATTTTTGTTAATTCCCCGCTATGTCCCGGGGGTGGGGGGGGGCGTGAATAACACTTTTATAATAATAATAATAATAATAATAATAACTCCGAATAACATTTTGTTTTGATTTATTGAATCTACGTTTCGACTAGATTGCATGTAGTCATCTTCAGGATTAGTGTAAGATTACAATATTTTGTAATCTTACACTAATCCTGAAGATGACTACAATCTAGTCGAAACGTAGATTCAATAAATCAAAACAAAATGTTATTCGGAGTTACTGTTTTTTTGTATTTTATAAAAATACTGAGTGGTTCCCAACTTCCCGTAATTATAGGGAACATTATATATACAAATAATCATGCAATTTATAAAAAATAGGTACGCAATGCGTACATGTGGCTAGCCTGGTAAACTTTAACTCCCCAAACCCTCCTCCAAACCCAGAGTGCCTGCCATACTGGTTAACTTTAATAGTAATAAGAAGAAACACAGGCTAACTTTAATAGTAGTAAGAAGACACCCAGGCTAACTTTAATAGTAATAAGAGGAGATATTATTGTACAATGCATATGCAATCTCCGTGGTGATTGGCTAAGAATCTACAAACAATTCTCAATGTTTTGCTGCCTCCAACATTGAAAAATTGTCTGTAGGTGACATAACTTTTAGTATGCATGCATGGCTGACGTACAAAACTCTCTGCAACTGCATGTGCTTTTGCATTTGCAATTGTATAATATATCAATTACTGTATCCAGCCCTCAGCTACAGCAGATAATATTGTCATAGCTGTCGAGGTTGACTGCATATCGTGCATGAGACTTGGCACTCCTAGGAGGGGGGAGCTAGGTGTTCCAGCATCATACACCCTTCCCACAATGTCGTAAAATTTGGGTTTCTGAAATGACATTTCCAGCATTATTTGAACACATTTTTGAAAGATTACTTTTCCTAACCCATTAAGTTGCAAAGCTTCCCCATTGACGAATAAAATCGTCTGTCGTTGGACAGGTAAAAAAAGTAGGGCGCACTGGGGCACATTACGGCTCAATGGGTTAACCAATATTGTAGGGGCGGTTCATGTTACAGGTCAAATGAAGCATTATTGACTGCAAAATTAGTATGGAAAATATAAAGAGAAAGTAAAGTCATTTCACACATTTCTGAGTTTGGCATTTGTCTTAATTTTAGCAAATTCTGTAATTATACTTAGTGGATGCTTATACCCAGGGGATGCTTATACCCAGATGGTGCTTATACCCAGAGGGTGCTTAATGGCAGGGGTTGCCTATTCTTGGGTTTCACTACAGCATTATGCAGTGAATCTGACGGGGGGTCAACCTCAAATGTATTCGATGCTTATGCTGTAGTGGAGTGAGAAAATGATACGAAATTCCATGTATTTGCCACTGAACACAAGGCTAATACATAAAACGAACAATCGACTCACTCTGATAACTGTGTTTTGTTTTAGAGTTGACCGCCCGTCACTTTTGTGATGTCATATGAAACCCAAGAATACGGGTATACTTGCTGGATGCTTATTATACCCAGAGGGTGTTTCAAGCCCGGAGCTGGCTCTCAATTTCTGGGGGGGGGCACTCACTCCAGAAAGAATGTAACCAAACGGTTGAGATGAAAAAAATTTTTTTCCGGAATATTCTGGCGACCTCCCCCCCCCCGTCGCCAAAAAATTTTCGGTCAGTGTACCATTTTAGGGGTCAAAAAAATTTTTCGGACATAACAATTTTTCCAAACATACTCCATTTTTCCGAAATCACAAAATTTTCCACAAAATTTACAGAATTTTTTCCATTATTACAATTGCTTCCCAGGCCCTTTAGCTCAATTTTTCATACCCGATTTCCGAGTGGGGGGGCCTGGGGTGTTTTAGCAAATAGTTTCAAAAGGAATGTGAAAACACATTAGATGATGAACACAACAATTTTTATACATCCAAGGAGATATATACTAAAAAATGCAAATACTAACAAAATTACTAAAATAATTTCATCTACATGGACTACTGTACTATAGCAATAGTCAAGGTTGTTTTTGTGACTACATTAGCAAAAGTCAACTGAAGGTAGTTTTTTTTTACTAATATAGCAATAGTCAAGGTAGTTTAATCCCAGCACAAATGGCAATTGGTTTGCAATATACCTACAATACTCCTGGCCTTCTTGGCTTGTTTTTGTTTGGTACGTGGCCTTTCACGTACTGTAAATAGCCCTGTATGATCAGTACGAGCACAATGGGCCCTTTCATGTGTAATATTGTATTTTTCAATTTTTGATTTGGCTCCTTTGTATAGTGTATTTCTGATTTGATACGTCGACTTCGCGTATAAGAATGCCATATCTATATTCGGACCAAAAATATATCTTTGACCAGAGCAAGCCAAAATGGCGTTTAACAATACGCCGTGGCTATTCGTACTGGAACAGTACGCCGAGTTTGATTTGCTATTCGTACTGCAGTCGTAATATTTAAGATAAACCTGACCCCAACCCCAACCCCTTCTCTAACCCTAACCAATAAAAGGTCTAATAAACTATTTGAGAGTTAAAAAAGTGGGGGGGGGGGGAAGGTAAAAATATTTTAACGTATTTATTTTTAAAGTCAACAGAAAACCGACGGCAAAAACTAAACCCGGACCCGACCTCGTTTCACTTTGCACAAACGGGCAAACGGGCTAGCAAACGTGCTAGCCACAAAAACTAAAACTAGTCAAAAGTCTAAAACTGTAAGTCACGATGTTCTAAGCAGGCTTTAGGTTAAAAGTTTAGAAAAAAGATTTCTCTTAAAAGACACTAGTGTTGGAGCATTCCTTGTATCACTGTCTAAATCATTCCAGTCTTTGATTACTTGATAGTTAGTGCGTTGTTTGCCCCAATGGCGTTTAACTTTAGGTAGCCTTATTGTGTCCTTATTTCGAGTGTTATGACTGTGAATCTGACTACATCTAAGAATGTCTAGAGAATGCTCCGTAAGACCATTAACACACTTCCAGATATGAATGCAGCGATGGAAATTCCTGCGTCGATGTAAATCGAGCCATTTCAGGGCTGACAGCGCGTCAGTTGCCGATGAGTACAAAGGTCTGTCTAATATTATCTTCGCAGCCTTGTTCTGTAGTACTTGGAGCTCACCCATCAAAACAAGATTGTCCTTGTCCCCCCAGACCAAGTCAACATAGTCAAAAATTGGTAAGACTAAACTATTGTAAAAAAGCCGGCGAGCTTGCAGGTGGGGCAACAAATGCTTAATTCTGCGTAAGGGACCCAGGTTCTTGTTTATCTTAGACGAGATATATTCTATGTGATCAGTCCAGGTAAAATTTGTAGACAGCATTACTCCCAAGTATTTAAAGCTAGATACAGTATTAATATCAGTATCAAAAACAGATAATGATAACGAGGAGACATTCCCGAGCTTCCTGTTACTGCCTATTATCATTGATTTAGTCTTGTCAAGGTTCAGGGTGAGCTTGTTTTCACGAAGCCAGCGAACAACCCTTAGGAGATCCTCATTTAGCTTATCTTCAAGCAGCCGTGAATCTTTGGAAAAGTAGTACAAGACCGTGTCATCAGCATACAGCGTTACTTCCGAGTTTATAACAGCATCAGGTAGGTTGTTTATATAAACCACGAAGAGCAGCGGACCCAGGACGCTTCCTTGGGGCACACCGACAGTTACCGGGAGGGCATCAGATAATTCATTGCCACAGGAGGTTCGCTGTTTCCGATTACTAAAGGCCCTGTCACACTATTGCGTATATGAGAGAAACGTATGAGAAGCGTATGAAAATCAATGAAATAATTTTCATACGCACAAAAATCCTTTGAAATGCCAGCGTATGAGTACCGTACATCTGGCGTACCTCTAGCGTATTCAGCGTGTGCCTAGAGTATACGCTTGTCGTATAAATCATACGTCCGAATATAATGTCCGATACGCACAAAATTTTTGAACATGCTTAAAAAAAATTTTCTGCCTCGCCGTATGCCAGCGTATGCCACCGTATGCGACCGTGCTTGAAACGTATACAACCTATGCCTATACCCTTACAAAAATTCCACATTTAAACCTGTCAAACAGTGAGATACTGTAATGGTATACATAGGAAGTTTAAATAATTTATTAATACAGTTAATTTCTACAAATGTTTAGCTACCATACAAAATAATTTATAATAAGGAAAAAACTTAGCAGTTCAAATGTCTTCTGCAATTTTCTTCTTTTCGTATCAGCATTTCTTTTGTCTTTGCACTTTTGGGCCATGGCAGCTTTCACTGATGAAGCTGTTGCTCCCGCAAAACGTTTAGTCACATGAGCTATAAGAAAGAAAATAAAAGACTATCATCAGCTCTACATACGTATACTGTATTTCATGTACCGGTACTGGAACTCCACAGTCAGTTAACATTACAGTATATAGCACAAATTCACAGTTCACATGCAGCAATATGAGCAATTCCCTCCTGTTAGGCCGTGGGATGAGCATCCAAAAGATGCTTAGAAAACGGATTCCGTTGCACCCCTCGTGGAACTACGTAATTTTCACATGAATAAATAGATAAAAACTTACTTTATCAGAATCCGTTGCTCCCCAAGCGAAACAGGTGCACAATTGGGAGAAAAATCCCTCCAAAGTTTGATATTTTCGCGCTTCGAAATATTCGAACCGCCATTGTTTTGATAGCAAATACGCATGCGCAACTCAGCCAAACTCGCATTGCGCACGCGCACAACCAACGCACATGCTTCGAAGTGGAAACACGCTCAGTTGTGCAAATAAGCATGGCTGAAGATATTTATAAAACTAGAATATCCTCATGTTTTATGCATTTTGATGGCGTTACGGAGCAACTTTGCAAAGTTACACGCCAAAGGCTTAAGCAATTTCTTGAGTGTAGGTCAAAATGGGCCAAACTTAAATGTCAACAAGCTGAAATAGCTAAGAAATCGTACGAGAACATCGATGACGGATCTGTCAATTCATACATCGAGAACTTAGAACTCCGACACCATTAACTTAGAGTGGAACCATCATATGAAATGCTGGAAGAGATTTTGTGATGAAGAGAAGATCCGTAGATAACAGAGAAAAGAAGAAAAAGGAGAAGGAACTAGCACTAAAACTATAACTTTTACCGAAGAATCACACGTGGAAGTGGAGGCAATAGAACCAAGGCGAAAAATTAATACACGTCAATCAGTCGCAGAAGCTATAAATATAAAGGCCCTGCCTAAAAGAAACGCGCATGTACTCCCAGTGATATGTATTATTTGTGGAAGAGACGGCTCATGGTTCTCACTAGACAAGGTATGGTATTTTGATAGGTATAATACTAGCGCAATGTGCACAACATTCTCAGGTTTGGTTTTAAAATATATTGAATTGTGATCAATTTAGTTTATTTAGGGTAAAGTAGTTTCTATGCTACAAATATCCAACCTTGTTATTAGCAGATATTTAGTTTAATAATTTATTTTGTTTCACACCAGGTAACTAAGAAGAGAAGAAGAACCCCACTCATGTTGGCAGAAACAATTGATGCTGGTCTTCTACGTACAGCTGCTGAGAGAAAGAACGATCAACAGATACTCATGCAAATCCAGGGGAAAGACTGTGTAGCTCTGGAAATCCGCTATCACAAAGTTTGCTACTGCAATTATACAATATTTTTCACCAGAGAGACGAAGAAGCAACGAGAGTATCACTGTACGAGAAGTCTTATGATGTATTCTGTAAGAAAGTAATTGAGATGGAGGTCATCAGAAATAAGCAAATAAAGTATATGAAAGATTTGCTGGAGAAATTTGTTATCATTGCTAAGGACACTGAGAATGTGGATGCATCTAGATATAGAGCTTTTAAACTCAAGCAACGACTGATGAAAAGTTATCCCCAACTTGTGTTCTGTGTACCGAAAATGAGAAATGTTAGTGAGATTGTATATGTGGAAAATTTGGATTCTAATGAATTGGTTGAGGAACATATGTCAATTAAGGGCCTGTTTATGTGGAAGCCGGGCTGGCCCACTTAGCGAGGCAGCCCGGTAAGCGGGATGAATTTCTCTTGTGTTTATATGAGAAACTTTCATCCAGCTTGCCAGGACAATTTTGTTACATTGTATTGTTTTGACAGTTGTTAAAAATAGCTTGCGGCGGTATTTTTGAACTTTCATCCCTGCAACCGGGATATCCCGCTTGTAAATCTTTATATGGAGAAATTTCCATCCCGGTAAGCGAGATCTAGCCTGAGTAGCCTCTTTCAAACGAGATCTCGGCAACTGGGCCAGCCCGCTTATCCATATAAACGCATGATAATTTTTACTATAAGAATAACTACACAGCGAGATCTTGCTTACCGGGCTGTCTTGCTTATCAGGCCAGCCCGGCTTCCATATAAACAGGCCCTAAGTCTGAAAACAATGATGAGGACTTTGATGAAGAGAGCTGTACCATTGATGATGATGATGATGAATTCCAACACAGAAACTGAGGGAAATTCTAAAGTCAATGAGTTACAAATTCTATACAATGCTGCATTGATTCTTCACCAAAAGGTGCAAGAAATACCAAAACTGAATCTTTCTTGGCCACCATTGGCATCTGATTTGACAAGGGATAATATTTCAAATCCGACTATGAGGACTGGACTAGATTTCAAGTCCACACAATTTGATCACGTCCGAGGCGAATCAGAGGACTGGATCAAAATGTGAGGACTTGAAATCTAGTCCAGTCCGAATTGGAGGATTTGAATCTGATCTCATTACGAACAAATCTCATTACGAATGATCTCATTACGAATAAATCACTACTTAATTAATTTTGATCCAGTCCAAGGACTGAATTAATTTTAATCCAGTCCTAGGACACTACAGGATCAATATACTTCATAACACTACAGGATCAATATACTTCATAAAGTTTCTAGTATTATCATGTGAGCAAAATAAAGCAATAATGGTTGGCTAATTTGCTCATGAATTATTAATGATTTGAGGTGAACAATGATGGTAATGCATGTAGGTATTATCAGTGGAGTAGATCAGGATTTATTTACTTATTCGATATTCTCATTCAGATCCACAGTATTTATATTATCAACACATATATTCCTCTCATGGACAGGGTTAACAGTATGTAAATAAAATAATTAACACGAAAAACCAGGCTGAATCGTTCCTTGTTATTCTAGATAGTGGCTAAATACCAACTGTCACAATATAAATATAATACATGAAATAGTTCAAATAGGAGAAGTAGAACTTTACCAGACAAAAGCCAGGACAGCTTATTGCAGAATACATGCAATCTCGTTTTGAGCATGCAAGCCCTTGGCCAGGATCCAATAAGTGGGATTTTATTGCTCTGATGAAAATCTGGGTTCAAAGATGAAAACATTTCTCTCAATTATAGATAGCTATAATGAAATTATGGATTTTATATTTCCTCCCAATTTATCTTTTTTATGATGAATTTCGAGTTTATATAAATATCCCTTAAAGCCCGGGACGAACTGGGAAACACTGTTGTCATATTATTTGTCTTTCCAATCTTTCGGTATGTCTTATCAGCGTCGGCAAACAGATAAAGAGTGTTTCATAAAATGCTTCTGAAATCTGAATTTGGTAGGAAATAATTTGCTTTCTGGGAAGCAAATTTTGCGTCTGCAATAAAAGTCAATTAAAAATCACGAATATTTCCACGACATTGTTTCTTACGTTTGGCCAAGGCTTTAAGTTTAGCGAAATATTTAATTTGTTCCTTGATCGTGTGAATTGTATGCATATATATTTTTTATTCTCCGTCCTGTTTGATACAGGTGGGTTTTTTACCTCACACAAATTTGTATTGAATTAGGATGTTAATTAAACGTTAAAACGGTATTTTGAAACAATAGCCAACGAATTGAAGTGATTTAGCATATGAGCAAGCAAAACATACAATGTGTTTTTAACAATATTTAATGTGGGTGTATTTATATTACAAGGTTTGATCAGTATTCCGTGATTTTATTTTGTTGTTTTCGCGGAGGAAATCGGGGAAACCCCCCAGTGAGAATCTATTTTTATAGTCTGCGCGTGCGCAGTGCGAGTTTGACTGAGTTGCGCATGCGTATTTGCTACCAAAGTAATGCCGGTTCGAATATTTCGAAGCGCGAAAATATCAAACTTTGGAGGGATTTTTCTCCCAATTGTGCACCTGTTTCACTTGGGGAGCAACGGATTCTGATAAAGTAAGTTTTTATCTATTTATTCATGTGAAAATTACGTAGTTCCACGAGGGGTGCAACGGAATTGCATCTTTTGGATGCTCATCCCACGGCCTATGTCCAACCTATAAACTTTGCACATTATTATGAATGGGAAGACCTAATGTAGTAGCACAACCCAACCTTTGGTTGAAGTTGGTTCTAGTGTTATCATAATTGATAACCCTTGGTTCATATGGGTTTTACCCTGACTCGTCCCCAGTAATTTATTCTCTGTGTGGGAGATACATGGCAAATTGGAAACTGTTGCAAGGCTATATCTTCTCAACAAGTAAAACTGTAAAATTTGCTGGCATTAGACAGTGAGAATAATATAAAGTAGAGCATATTGCCAGTGAATGGTTAACAAGAGAAATATGCACTAGATAGGACTTGTTAACAGACATCTCAAAAGCACCTCCAATATTTTGTCTGCCGTAATTACAGTATCCAATCATTTGATCCATTTAATTATAATTAGATTGCTTTTTTAAATAATTATTACAAAGTGGCTATCTTCAGGCCCGTAAACAAACTTCGCCAGGCTATATTTATGGCACTCTCATTCTTAGTCTCCACACAGGTTGTATTTATAGTTAAAGTCAAATTCAAACAAAACTAACCCTAACCTCTACCCCTAAAAAATAAAACTAATCCGAAAAAAAAGACATGTTTAGTTAAAGTGAACAAAAACCTGTCCCAACTCGGGTTCGAACTACAGACTACAGCACAGCAGCCATCTGCCTAACCTTGTGATCTATTTTTAAGCTTGTTGAAATCCTTCATAAACGCTCTTCCGATCTCTGTGCTGGTTTAGTACATAAGAGTGCTGTAAGCCTGTAAATATAGCACGGCAAAGTCTGATTAAGGACCTGTAGATATACTGTAGCCAGTAATGATTTTTCTGTGTTGGTGTAATGTACTCAGGAATATATGATGCTTGTGATGTTACTCTGAGTGTATATCCACACCGGGCAAGCTTAATTAAAAATATGCCTGACCAAGGTGGGAATCGAACCTACAACTTTTGGAATTCGAATACTAGCCCAATGCTCTGCCAACTGACGGCTACGCGGTCAGATCGATTCGAATATATGTGATATTTCGGAACAGAATCTAGTTCCTTCGATATCAATGTAATCTAATAATCAGTAATGATTTATCTAGTTCCTTCGATTACATTGACATCAAAGGAACTAGATTTTGTTCCGAAATATCACATATTCGAACCGATCTGACCACGTAGCTCAGTTGGCAGAGCATTGGGCTAGTATTCCAAAGGTTCTAGGTTCGATTCCCACCGTGGTCAGGCATATTTTTCAAGCTTGTCCGGTGTGGATATACACTCAGAGTAACATCACAAGCATCATGCTGTAGCCACTTTGTAATTATTATGATACCGCCGGCATGATCCAGCATGCAATATGAACTCTATCAACTGTTTAGTAGCTAATTAAACTGAATTATTCTACTTCTGTCTGGCCTAGACAGGATCCCACCTGCGAGGACAAGAAACTCTCATATAAGCACTCTATCATCCCTGCCAGGTGGGGTGTATTCTGTCTATATTAAACACACCATCCTGGATTAAAACCTACTGTCCAGTCATGCCATTATCATATAAACAGGCACATATATACAGGGTAAACTCTAGAAGGGTAAACTACATGGATACAGGTAAACTCTACTTATAATTTGTAACGTACATGTGAATTCTTTCACCTGTATTTGTAACGTACATGTGAATTCTTTCACCTGTGAAATTTCACTTGTAATTTCATGTGAAATCTTTTCACATTTAATTTCATGTGAAATCCTTTCACATGTGAAATGTCACATGTGATTTCATGTGAAATCTTTTCACATGTGAATTCAGTAATCTTTTCACATTTAATTTCATGTGAAATCCTTTCACATGTGAAATGTCACACATGTGAAATCCTTTCACATGTGAAATGTCACATGTGATTTCATGTGAAATCTTTTCACATGTGAAAAGTAATTTCATGTGAAATCCTTTCACATGTGAAATGTCACATGTGATTTCATGTGAAATCTTTTCACATGTGAATTCAGCCAACAATATTATTGAGTCACATTTTAATTAACACATGTTTTGTTTTAATAATAAGCATATACAGCAAATAATGATGTCAATTTATTGCTTTTCAAAATTTCACTTTACAAAAATATAGGGCCATATTGATATAGTAAGAGGTATTGTTAATGCATGTCTAAACAATTAATCCAGTAATTCATTAAGATTAATTTCATGGGTTTCTTGTTACAACTATATTCTGGTATCTGGTTTAAAAGTGATTAGATTTTCTTGAATTGCTCAGCTGGCATCGCAGATTTCATATAACCTTTAAATTCAAAGTTCTTCATTAATATTAATACTAGTCTAGATAGATTTTTAAACATTTTTATTTATTGTAAGATCTAATCCATCGGAATTTTATTTATAATGAACTCATCCAATCAATCATGGAGTCATCACCACTAAAACGTTTGTGTGACACTTTAATTGTACTGCCCTGCTACTTGCATATTCTGATCTTCCTATATTATCCAATATTATCACCAGTCAGGCAGTCATATTATCAGCCAATTGTCCAAAATATGTGTTTACTTAGTTCAGTTAGTTGTTTGAAGTACTACAGATGTCATGCATTACCAATTTACCATGATTTTGACTCGTGCTTTTATCTGCAAATTGTTCAATTAAAAAGAACAGGCAGATCATAAGACTGAAAGCAACATTTAACTCTTGGCTCTAGCTATAAAAGTATGAACATGCTACAACTTAATTGATACTGCTGTTAAATGCTGGAAAGAAGGTTGAAACTTGTCGATATGATCTCGGAATAATGGCTGTGCGTTTGCTTTTTCATATACCCTCACAACTGCAATGTTCAGTACGTGTTGTATGGTGATTACACTGATCTTCAGGGACATAGCGAAGCATCTGAAGTTGGGGTGGCAGAGGATTTTACCTGAAATTTGAATGTTAAAAATTTACCTGATGTGTAATAATTATAATAGAGCTCTTTCTGATTGATTTCCACTGTCATACTAAGTTTCCAAAGAAAAGGGGAGTCTGGGGGTCCCCCCCCCCAATGTTTACATTTTTGAAGCTCCAGAACTGCATTTCTGGCGTTTTCTAAAGCAAATTCGCAAACAATTAACATTTCCACTAACAATAAACAAAATACATTTCCACTCGATTATTTCCATGTACAAGATCCTTCAGCTGTACGTAATTATAAAAACAGACTGAGCTCCCATTGCACTGTGTGTGAATTTGTGGTGGGAGACAATCCTTGAACAATAAATCTCAATAATAGCACCCATATTTGCAGTCAGAGCGATGTCAGTGACTACAATAGTAATACAAAATAGTCCAGCCTGTTTCGGTGTTTATAAATAATTGTAGTTTTATACCTACAAGTTGAAGTTGATAGGACAGTTACAGTATAATACCCGCACAATGCAGGTATATTAAAATTCAAGATCTGTGCAAGCACGTTTGATAATTTATAAACGGGATTATGAAGTAATATTAAAGCTTTATATGAAGCGTGATCAAAATCTCTTTGACCAGAGGCAGTGTCCAGAGCAGATATGAATAGCAATGTTTTTATTTATAAATGACATGCAGATTGAATCACAAATTATAAACACAAATATCGATTGAAATAACAAAGATTAACTTAATACCGTTTACTTAAACTGAAAAATTCCTTTGAGTATTTCTGCCAGCGTTGCCAACTGGCAACTGTGATTTTGTAAACATCGCGGACTTTCGCGGACATTTATATTTCAGCATTGGTCATGACATGAACGACAGTTTCCGAAGTAAAGTCGACAATTTCCGTCACAACTCTTACACTTTTAGCGTTACATAATGGCCGAACGGGCTAGCCACAAAAATTAAAACAAAGGCTGACACAGTTTTGAAGCTGAGAACTTCAGCTTTTTGCTGTAGAAATAATAGATATCTATTATTGTAGAAATAATATATATCTATATTATTTCTGTGGTAGAAAAGTTTTAATAAAAGTGACGTTTCGTCTAAAGACATCTTCAGAAACAGTAACATTACAATGACAAGGATTATGCAGGGACGTCGCGAAACTATCAACATTGGGTGTCGTCATGTTTTGACCAACATCTCCTAGGGTTTTGACCAAGTAGTACAAATTTTTCCCGAAAATGTTGTCTACGGAAGGGGGGAAGGGGGGGAGGGAAGGGGCATAAGCATATAGACAAAAAAAATTTCCGCATAACATAGGCATATTGAACATTTTTCGACCAAGATAAGCAAGGCTTCCAATTTTTTCACCGCAAACATAACAAAAGCTTTAAAATTGCCAACAATTTCATAACTTTCAGCAACTTCGACCATCTTTTATCCCAAACTTTGACCAAATTTTTCCGAGTTTTACCTTCAATTTTAATATTAAGCAAATATCAGTTCCCGGCATTTTGACCAACTGTGGGCAAATACCTGTTCCATTTTGATCAACTTTGACCAACGTTTGAATTATTTGTGGTGTGTTAACCCCCCGCCCCCCTATTATTCAATCGAGTGAAATGCCTACAAAATCTTGATATTTATACCCATAACCAGTACATGGCAGTGCTCTAGTATAGTATACATGAACTTGTGGTTAAAGCTCGACAACTGGCCTCTGTAGCTCAGTTGTTAGAGCGCTGCAGCGGAATCGCAGGGCCGCAGGTTCGATTCCTGCCAGGGACCTAAAGTTTCGCCCCATGTGAGGTAATCCAGGAGGTGTTTGGATTCCGGATCCCACTGCTTGGATTCCGGATCCTACTCCTTGGATTCCGGATTCCACATCTTGGATTCCGGATTCCGAAACTGTAGTGGATTCTGGATTCCAATTTATTATTTTGTGTATTGCAAAGCCAATAAATACACTTTCAGTTCCCAGTGCACCTGTTACTGTATATATTATCAAACAAGTTTTGATAATAAAAGAAATAGCTTCAAATAAGTACATCAAATTTATATATTGATATACTGTAGTGCAACCAACATTGTTTATGTTTCGCGGCAAGGCCCTCTTCAAAAACCTTTCTAAAAAGTTAATTGCCAACAGTGCGAAAGAAAAACAATTTTTAACTTCTGAAAATTATTTTTAGTTACCCCAAAATTCTACGCGTGTCTTGATTTACCTTAGCTCTTGACTTCTAGAAATCTCGAGCTAGGTTCTTATTTCAATTACTGTTCTGGTAAAATCAGAATATAACAAAAGCACAATGAATACATTTTTTCTGCATTCTTTATGATCCAGAAAATGTGTCGCAGCTTTGCTACTAGTTATTATTCTTCGCCACCGATACTGCATTTGTAACAGAAATCTACTCAAAACTGTGTAACGAAACTGATCAGAGAAGTGGTGTTGTAACAATCCAGTGTTTGTATTAATCAGAGCATATAGCATTAGTAACAATTACTTTAATTACAATGTTTCGAAGTATAACCTTCTTTTCATTTATTAAAAAAAGCAACGCAACTGCATGTAAAGGTATGAAAACTTTAACTTTAAACTTTAATGTCAAACAACTACATATCTTAAGAACATGGAGCTATACTTCGAAACGTTGTTATTATTACAATTATTACTAACTAATCCCTGCGGCTTATTATGACTAAGCCTGTGGCCTAAAGCACGGGTGGCAGATGCGGTTAGCGCGCTGCTATACTCACCAGTGAGTTAAGCCTATTACACCAGGCGAAGGTAGGTCATGGGTTTTACGTTGGTGGAGTAACTTCCGTGTACATCAAATAACTTATCTTACAGAATCTGGTCAGTCTTCTCCTGTGCTTCGACACTCATTCAGATATTCCGGCCTAACCCACTTTCCTCAGTAAACACTAACAGTTAGGCATTAAACCTTAATTAACCTTAAGGTCCACCTAAAAATAAACACTGCCTGAATAAAACTATCATCAATCAATCAATTCAAACGCTGGATTACACAAACATGGAAATGTTTCTATTCCTCAAATACTGTAATGCATAGGGATAAAGTGAATAATAATTCTAAAAGCGTGTGTCACTTAGCTGAGAAGGAAACGGGTTATTCTTCTTTCAGACAGGCTGACACCCGGCAATCTTGAGGGAAGTGTAGCAAGGTTTAACACTTCTTCCATCTCTTCTTCCATGTCTTCTTCCATCTCTTCTTCCATCTCTTCTTCCATCTCTTCTTCCATCTCTTCTTCCATCTCTTCTTCCATCTCTTCTTCCATCTCTTCTTCCATCTCTTCTTCCATCTCTTCTTCCATTTCTTCTTCCATCTCTTCCTCCATCTCTTCTTCCATCCCTTCTTCCATCTCATCTTACTCTGATTCCTGCTCCATGTCGTAATTTAATTTCTCAAATTCATTAATAATTCAATTAATAATGAGTAATTAAACCAATAGCATGTAAGCATTCCGTCACAAGCATCTCTTCTTCCATCTCTTTTTCCATCTCTTCTTCCATCTCTTCTTCCATCTCTTCTTCCATTTCTTCTTCCATCTCTTCCTCCATCTCTTCTTCCATCCCTTCTTCCATCTCATCTTACTCTGATTCCTGCTCCATGTCGTAATTTAATTTCTCAAATTCATTAATAATTCAATTAATAATGAGTAATTAAACCAATAGCATGTAAGCATTCCGTCACAAGATGCTGTTTGGATACCGCGGTCAAACACCGTCATGCAGACACAGCACCACAAGAGTTTAGCTGCAACTTTTCGCCCCTTGTGAGGTGATCCGGAATCCGACTTTTTGCTGATTTAGGAACAGGACCGTAGCGAGGGGGGTATTGGGGGGGGGGGAACCCGTAACCCCCCCCAACTTTTTCAGAATTAACATATTCGGAAAATCGGGTTGGCCATTCGGAAAATTACAGCAATAATAGTATCACAAAATTTTAGTTGTTAAACAGAAATAATATTATAGAATTGTATTGTCAGTATAAACTGATTTACGAAATCATGGCATTTACATGGATATAACAATTTACAAATCGGTAAACGTTTTTCGGTTTATTACTTCTGTAATATGTCTATGCGTAGAATACGCGTATTTTTGTTTGTATTTGGTCAATAATTGACTAAATTCTCTCAAGAAACCAGAATGTCTTCTTCCATCTCTTCTTCCATCTCTTCTTCCATCTCTTCTTCCATCTCTTCTTCCATCTCTTTTTCCATCTCTTCTTTCATCTCTTCTTCCATCTCTTCTTCCATCTCTTCCTCCATCTCTTCTTCCATCCCTTCTTCCATCTCATCTTCCACATGCTGTTGCTCCTCGTCTCCAGTTTCCTCATATTCGCTAGCAATGCGTGATAGTTGAATATTTTCCTCCGGAGGGACTAGAAACTGTTCGCGTTGAAACAAAATCCCGCTGGAGCGAGTCGGCCATGATAAACTTCGGGGAGTTCTTGTCGCAGGTATCACCTTTGACATAACAGAGTGGATCCTCTGTTTGGTTAAGCCATCGAATGCTCACATTGTTTCTCAAGAACCTTCCACTGTCAGCTTTGACGCAAACGTCCTCCAGAAGAATAGCTAACCAGTACGGGGATTGCGACGACGTCATCCCTGCGGTACAGAACCCTAACCCGTACTGAAATGGCTCGATTAACGTTGGGCGCATTGACAGTCTGGCATTCTAACACGATGTCCTCCACTTCTTCAGAGGCGGTAACGGCGTCTGGTCTCATGCCCAAGGAATATGGAAGGGTTCCTGTGATCTATTTCGTCTTTGATTGAACGTTTTCTTGTCTTACACCCTGCCGTATTCGCTTACAAATTCTCGCATTACTTCCTCGCGCCTTTTGTCATCGTCTTTGTCCCCACTTCCCTTACTCGCAACACTTTTCTTTGTTGCACGAGAGGCCATGTTGTGCGGGTCGCTCTTGATAATTTTCTCAGGGTAAAATGTATTGGGTCCAGTGAAATACTTAACAAATATAAAACATTTTCCGTGTTGATATACAGTTATATCAATACGAGTGGAATTGGGAAAACGAGAAATTGTCGAAAAGACGCACGAAGGGCGGAGTGTTTTCATACAATTTCGAGTTTTCCCAACTTCCACGAGTGTTGATATAACTATATATCAATACAGAAAAATGTTTTATATTTTTTTTATAATATAGCAATGTCAAAAGCCCGAAGGATAGGAAAAATTTCCGTGTTTACAAGCGGCGGAAAATTTCCCGTGTCGACATCAGTTATGTCAACACGGCTCTTAGCCAATCAGCGTTCAGAATTTACAAATTTTATATTATAATCACTAATGTTTCCTAGACCTAGTGTCTGCCCATTCTGGGAAACATGGCAAAACACAACCTCGTGCCCCTGGGTACGAGGTTGGGGGAAACATTGGCAGGAAACAATGTTTCCGCAACATTGTTTCCTAGTTTGCCCAGGGCTATACTTTCATGCTTAAAAAATGCACCAAACACGACATTTTATTATTCACGCTTCATTTATGTCTCTGACTTTGTCTACCAACTGGAGGCCATAATTTTTATCCGTGTAGTGAAACTGTGAGAATAGTTACAGTTTTTGTTCACGTCCGCGACGTAGATATGGTGCATAGGTTTAAGCTCGCTATTGTCTATAAACGGCGTCAAAATGCAAAGCGCTAGAGCGTAATGGTATATACGAATATAGAACAGTACCCGCTAGTAATCGGAAGGCGGGCGGGCGCAAACAGTTTCTCAAATTTCATGTATTTGGACTATTTAGTCATGAAAGTTGACTGAGCCTGAACATATTTCCTGGCGGTAAATAAAAGAGGAGATGGTTAACAAAAGTTTACAACAAATATGTTTTTTTCTGAATTAATAAACAATGGATTCCAGAACGACCTGGGCTCTGGATTCCTCAGTTATTTGGATTCCGGATCCCACTGTCTGGATTCCGGATTCCAAGAGTCTGGATTCCGGATTCCTAAACAGGGCCGTAGCTAACATGTATAGTTGGGGTCGGGCAAAAATTTCCGAATGACGAAAAATATTTCGATCTTTCAGAGCCACGAAGGTGTTCAGGGCCGTTGCGAGAACTTTGCCCTGGGGGGGGGGAGCGTGAGGTTAGATGTACCTGAATTTTTTCAACTGAGCGGTTTTTACCTAATTTTGCGACGCCCGCGAGGCGCAACCATGGTTGGCGCCGAGCAAAAAATTTTGGAAATTTGAATTCTCTACTAGACAGTCGGAAATGGCAGTTTTAGAGTCATTCCTATCCAAAATTTCAATATTTTTAGTACTGCCTAACAATGAAGATAAATAAAATAACTACTGATCAATATGACAGTGTTACTTACAATATAATGTGACTAGGAAATTTGAGAACATTTTGGAAATTTGGAGTCTCCTGGGGCCGGTTGTACGAAGGCCGGATAGCGCTATCCACGGGATAGTGATTTTTTCAAGCTTTGTTAAATCAGTCGTTGATTGCTGTAACTCGTATTAGAGTTTATTATTTATAAGTTAAATGTTTTTTATATTTCTAGTGTCGTCTATGTCCGCAGTTTCACAGTTTTTCAAGCATTTTACAAAGGTTGGAAAAAATCACTATCCGATGGATAGCGCTATCCGAACTTCGTACAACCGGCCCCAGATCGTCCAAAAAGGTATTTGGTCATGTATTCCAGGCCACGACGCGTCTGGACGTCTTTAATTAATTAGTTGGCCGATTGATAACTCTGATTCATAGCACACAGTTCCTTTTTTATGCCCTGAGAATTACCTGAATTTACCTGAAAATCTGCTGGAAATTTACATGAAATTAATCATGAGCAATTATTGGCGGTTGTTGCTGGTTTCTTGAGAGAATTTAGTCAATTATTGACCAAATACAAACAAAAATACGCGTATTCTACGCATAGACATATTACAGAAGTAATAAACCGAAAAACGTTTACCGATTTGTAAATTGTTATATCCATGTAAATGCCATGATTTCGTAAATCAGTTTATACTGACAATACAATTCTATAATATTATTTCTGTTTAACAACTAAAATTTTGTGATACTATTATTGCTGTAATTTTCCGAATGGCCAACCCGATTTTCCGAATATGTTAATTCTGAAAAAGTTGGGGGGGGTTACGGGTTCCCCCCCCCCCAATACCCCCCTCGCTACGGTCCTGTTCCTAAATCAGCAAAAAGTCGGATTCCGGATCACCTCACAAGGGGCGAAAAGTTGCAGCTAAACTCTTGTGGTGCTGTGTCTGCATGACGGTGTTTGACCGCGGTATCCAAACAGCATCTTGTGACGGAATGCTTACATGCTATTGGTTTAATTACTCATTATTAATTGAATTATTAATGAATTTGAGAAATTAAATTACGACATGGAGCAGGAATCAGAGTAGGAAGGCAGGAATAATATAGAGTAGGAAAAGATGGACAGAACTGCCTATTGTGTTAACTAATTTATAGTCACGAGAAAAGACACATAGTGTATAATTAAAAAAACTCAACCACATGCAGCAACTGAACAACAGAGCCATATAAGTACCTTGTATAGGTTTACATGGTGGCTTGGTTTTGTTGAACAAAACTACATGACCTAGCTACATGTACGTTGACTTATTTCGCAAAGCTTTTCGATAAACCTAGGAAGATTCATACAGCCGACTCAGCCGTATGTATCGAAACTCAAAAACGTTTCGAAATAAATAAACGTGGTTATTTCCATAAATTAACAGTCAATAGACTAGTGTCTCGTATCCATTTTTAATGAAGACATTTACCAAACTGTTAATCATATGAAACTGGACTGAATCAATGAGTTGTCGAAACACCAGGTGTATTGTGATTTATCATATTGCTTTACAAGTGTTATGACGTGGAAGTTACTCACCCGCGTACTTCAATTCATATTAGTTAGAAACCAAACAAGGATTCAATCGAATTCCAATAAATCAAACATCATTCTATTTTCTGTAATTAAAATAAGGGTTCCGCTTCCTACTTAGGTGGGCAGTAAGTATATAAATATAGTTCAAAAGACGTCTTTAAGCACTTGTAAAATACTTATCAATGAACATTTCGACCTTTTCTGGCTATATAGGAGTGGCATATTTGGGGCTAATATAAATCATAATTATACAATGTGATCCACTAAATTTTAATTACAATTCGTGATCGTTTGATGTAAATGAAATATCATGTTTTCTCACTAAGTACAGATAATATTTAAGAAATAGAAAACATTTTCCGTGGTTCTATATACAGTTATAGAAACACGCGTAGGCGTTCGGGAGAACGAGAGGTCATCAATGGGAAAACGAGCGCGTGGGGTGGTTTCCACGTTATTTCGAGTTCTCCAAAACTACCACAAGTGTTTCGTAGAAACACAAGAAAATATTATTTCTTTCATACTATAACACAGTTATGCTTATAGATACACGTTTCTCGACCAATCAACGCTCGCGTAGCCTATATATAACTGTTATATAACTTATATTATAAAATAAAGTAATAAGGGGGGGGGGGAGGTATTTCCATAATTGTTACTTGTTGAAAAGCAAATAGTATCTAAGCTATAGAAAATTCCTGAATGAAGAGTATAAAATGTCATTTAACAAAACTGAGGTCACTGCCGTTTAATGTCATTTAACAAAACTGAGGTCACTGCCGTTGTTATGATACCTATGACGTTTTAAGGTATAAAACCGGCATACTCTGAATAAAGTTCCATCTTGAACTTAATATTTGAAACAAGAGGAGACAAGCTTCAACAGTAATATTTTGAATTTATTATAAATTCATCATCAGACTAATTTATATGATGACATCATCAGGAGGAACTAATTTAACATATGGCATGCAACTTTCTTATAGCTCTAAATTTCGTGTTGTCGTGAGCGGTTATGAGCGGTGAGCGGTGAGCGGTGGTGAGCGTACCGGTCACGTGGCAAATTCGTAAATTACAACAATATTAATTACCGGGTTTTTCCGACGAGCATTTTCTCGAGCATTTTCATCACTCATGGCCCATGCACGTTAACTTTTTGACTTTTTGTCCAACGGCTTTCGTCGAGGAAAGGCAAAGAAAAAGGTTTGATTGTTCGTGGAAAATTTACATATTTGAGCTCCTTAATTGTTAATTGCTGCGTAGCGAGCGAGCCTGAAGCGAGCGGAGCGAAGCAGCAGCCTAATTTGTGCGGTAGGCAGTAGAAAAGAAGATTTTTAGCGTCGCATGGAATTGTGGTCGTGCGCATTTGTGTGCGCAGTTTTCATAAATCCGTCTCACCTCACTACACATGCGCAATCAGCTCAAATTTGTCTCACTTCAGTGCACGTGATCTGTGCTGATATTGTTCAATGCGCTTTGGAACGTATTGGCATATTGTTCAACGCGTGCTCTGTGCTCATATTGTTCCTGAACGCGCTTTGGAACGTATTGGCATATTGCGAAGAAAAGAGATTCGAATTAGACTATAAAACATTAAAAAGGTAAGAGATTTTAACCTTATAAATTGTCCTAATATTGTAAAGTTGGCTACGGCTTGATATTTTTTATTGACTATTAATGTAGTGCGAAGATCATTATTGGTGGTATTGGATCATTATTGGTAAAAGGTACGAGATATCAACCGATATTCTGTTTTTCAATAAGCGCAAGATTGGCAGTTGTTTGTTGTTTTGCCTGATTTTTTAGTGTAATTTGTTTCGCTATATACACCGTGTAATATTAGCGCAGTTGGTGGCTGGATATTTGGTTTAGCATTTCGTGCGACGTGTGACAGATAGTATTTGTATGTGGCGTATTTGAAATATATCGTTTATTGTTTTGCTTGCTTCGATTTGTAAACTATTTTTAATCAGTTTAAGGTTTTAAGATATAGAAAAACATTTTACTTTGGCCCGTTAAAAATTGTTTTCGGCGTATTTGAGCCTCGTGTTCAGTTGGTGTCTTTGCTCGCCTGACGCCTCGTGCAAAATGTTACTATTAGACTATATAAATTGTCCTAATATTGTAAAGTTGGCTATGGCTTGATATTTTTTATTGATTTTCAATTTGTTTGACTATTAATGTAGTACGAAGATCATTATTGGTGGTACTGGATCATTATTGGTAAAAGGTACGAGATATCAACCGATATTCTGTTTTTCCATAAGCGCAAGATTGGCAGTTTGTTGTTTTGCCTGATTTTTTAGTGTAATTTGTTTCGCTATATACACCGTGTAATATTAGCGCAGTTGGTGGCTGGATATTTGGTTTAGCATTTCGTGCGACGTGTGACAGATAGTATTTGTATGTGGCGTATTTGAAATATATCGTTTATTGTTTTGCTTGCTTCGATTTATAAACTATTTTTAATCAGTTGAAGTTTTAAGATAGAAAAACATTTTACTAGCTTTGGCCCTTTTAAAATTTTGGCGTATTTGCGTGCCTCGTGTTCAGTTGGCTTTGCTCGCCTGACACCTCGTGCGAAATATTACTATTAGACTATAAAACCTTAAAAAGGTAAGAGATTTTAACCTTATAAATCGTCCTAATATTGTAAAGTTGGCTATGGATATTTTTTATTGTTACCAATAATGATCCTGTACCACCAGGCGATCTTCGCACTACATTAATAGTCAACAAATTGAAAATCAATAAAAAATATCAAGCCATAGCCAACTTTACAATATAAGCCATAGCCAACTTTACAATATTGTCCTAATATTGTAAAGTTGGCTATGGCTTGATAATTTTTATTGATTTTCAATTTGTTTGACTATTAATATAGTGGGAAGAGTCACTATTGGTGCCTGGTGGTACTGGATCATTATTGGTAAAAGTGTTACGAAAGTATTAAAAATAGTATAAAAATAGTTCAATTTGCACCCCAGGTAATTATAAAATACTAATTACGTCGAATGGAGAGATAATGAGCATTTTTAACGAAAAATAAACGGATTAAGTAAATCTCATTTCGGACTTGAGCAAAAATGTCAATTATCTGTCCATTAGGCAAGATAGATAATTCGTCAAACTGTCAAAGTTGACCGATAACCTTGCATGGTGGCCTGTTGTGTTTACATAATTCAAGTCCGGTGCCTGGTGGTACTGGATCATTATTGGTAAAAGAGTCACGAAAGTATTAAAAATAGTATAAAAATAGTTCAATTTGCACCCCCAGGTAATTATAAAATACTAATTACGTCGAATGGAGAGATAATGAGCATTTTTAACGAAAAATAAGCGGATTAATTAAATCTCATTTCGGACTTGAGCAAAAATGTCAATTATCTGTCATTAGGCAAGATAGATAATTCGTCAAACTGTCAAAGTTGACCGATAACCTTGCATGGTGGCCTGTTGTGTTTACATAATTCAAGTCCAAGGCTGGCCCTTCATTGACCGTGAATGAGTGCATGCTTAGGCCGTTTCTGTCAATCATTCTTTGGTATATTTCGCGCGGTTGAGTAATGATTACGTCATTAAAATCTTGGTTCAATAAAATTGTAAGTAAATTTAGTTTAGTATATATCGTTTATTGTTTTGCTTGCTTCGGTTTAAGGTTTTAAGATATAGAAAAACATTTTACTTTGGCCCGTTAAAAATTGTTTTCGGCGTATTTGAGCCTCGTGTTCAGTTGGTGTCTTTGCTCGCCTGACGCCTCGTGCAAAATGTTACTATTAGACTATATAAATTGTCCTAATATTGTAAAGTTGGCTATGGCTTGATATTTTTTATTGATTTTCAATAGAGAGGACGGTGATGCTGAAGGCTTGCCGAACACAGAAAAAGTCGAATGCCCTGCAGAAGGAGTTTCATCTCTTCAGCGCTTTTCTTCCTGCAAAAAGTGCCAAACGAAACTAATTCGAAATGATGAAAAACAATTGGTTAAATGCGCAGAGTGTGGTTTGGCGCAATTATTCCACAAATGCCAGCGGCGTTTAATCGCAAACGTCATGTTCTTGAAGGCGGGAAATACAATATCTCTGCTTCTGTTTGAAGACAAACTCAAACAACTGTATCATATTTACACAAGTCAAGTCGCTGGAGGTTCCACGGAAAGCTTTGAATCGTTAGATGACGATTCTATAATAGAATTTCTGTTAACCGTTGAAGCTACTGTGTGCCACAACACCAAGAAAAACGTTGTTTCGGTGGACAAAAAAAAACTGACAAATAAGAAAATAGTTAAGTGCTTGGACAATTTAGTGCTCACATACAATTGTGCTTGGACACATTATTTCTTATTTTGTTTCAAGTTATGTTAGATTAGTATATTAACCTTGTTCATTGAAATATTTCACCTCTTAGAGTTCCACATATCTACTTTTTAATATTATACAACTTTAATATACAACCTTACAGATCGTACTTTTGTTAGGTGCTTATCATCACTATTTGCTTTTAATGCCCGCAGCAATCCCTACCTTGCAGGTACCCTAGTTTACATTATATTATGTTATATTCTGTGAAGGCTACGCTATCAAAATACTCTAAAATTGAAATGCTAAAATTGAAACGGAGTCATTCTACTCACACTGATTATATTGTATGCAAAACTTAAATAACATGAAATATACTAAATAACATGAAATATATTTATAAAAATATCAAACAAAATTCTCATTAATACTATTGAAATTTAATACAACGAAATATAGCATTCTACGTCGATAATTTCAATCATAGTTTAATAATTATTTTCAATCTACAGTCATTCTTCATCGTTTCCATGTTTTTTATACTTTCAATAAAGCTACAATAAAGCTAAATTTGTAAGAAATAACACTATTATTTCGTTATAAAATAGTATAAAAGGAAATCTAACAGTCAATCGCTTTCGACCTTGACCATGTTTAATTGTTTATATTACCGTCGTTTGCAACTAACGACGAACAGTCGCTCATAAAAACATCGCTATTCGCGTGAGGATCTTAAGTTTCCTTATTTTGACATAATAGCTATTTTTCAATAAATATATTGATATTTAACTTATATTGAATCAATATTTTAAGTTTCAGGCCATGTCGGAGACTGTCTATATATATCTTAATATTTGTGATTTAATAGCAGGATTAATTATTACTTTAATTAGGGACGAACATTGCATGATTGACACATTTATATTATTATGAAGAGGAGTTAAAAGATAGGAATGTAGTGACTGTGGGACTGTGAGAGAGACTAGACCGCGTATACAACTGTGAGTGATTTTCAATAATATAATTTTATAAAACCGAATTTGCTTCGTCGAGAGTTTGATTGTTCAATACCTTTTAGTAAGGGTCAATTTACTAAACCTGGCACCTCCGACGGGATCGTAAAATGAGTGAGACAAACGCCAGCACCGCGCTGGAAACAAAATTAGTTCAATTGCAACTAACGACGAAGCGCACGGACGGAATTCTTGCAAAATCCGAAGAAGAGCCTATTGCTCGACATCAGGGAACACTAAGAACTGTTATTGGCGAAGTGGAAAATCTAAGGCTTACGGTTGAAGCTGAAAAACTGTGCAGAAAAGAGGATACTACCGAGTGGAGCGAGGAGATTGATACCAAAATCAGCGAGGCAGATAGTCATGTAAGACTGACGAAGCAATGGTTGGCGGAAAACAAGAGGAAACTAGAGGAGAAGGAGAACGACGAGAAGATCAAGTTTGAGGTAAAACTGCATGACACTAAAGTAAAGTTACAAGATGAACATATTCTTAAAAACACCTCGCAGACCAGTAAAACTATGATTGGAATGCAAGCGAAATTACCGAAGCTAGTGATTTCGAAATTTAATGGTTCTCCTATGGATTGGCCAAGGTTTTGGGGACAATTCTCAGAGAACATTGATCAATCCGCAATTGCCCCGGTGACTAAGTTTTCTTATCTTCGCGAGTTGTTAGAGCCTAAAGCACGACAAACAATCGAAGCATTGCCCTTCCACAGCGAAGGGTACAATCGAGCGATAAGCATCCTGAAGGATAAGTTTGGGAAAGAATCCGAGATAGTAAAGGGTTACACGCGCGAGATACTTGGGTTGCCCACAATACAAGCGGCCAATCAGAAAAAGATTCATGAGTTTAGCGACAAATTGTCGTACTGCGTTCAAGCTTTAGAGACATTGGACAAGCTTGACGGGGTCAATGGCGCCGTGCCAATGACTCTTGATAAACTGCCTAGCATTCGTGGAGATTTGGTGCGAACGGACCCTGAATGGGAGAAATGGACCTTCACCAAACTAGTTGAAGCGCTCAACCAGTGGTGTCGAAGAAAGCCAATCGACAAACCATCTGAACTAAACGACGACTCGTTTAGCAGCAAGAGAAGAGA